CATCTTTTATGTAGTATGTTCTTCATCTAGTCCAGCACTCAAGACATTGTCAGTGTTTAGCAGATATCATCCTCTTTCTTCCTGTCTTCTTAAATTGCAACTATGGCTTCAGATGGAGAATGAGAAGTGACTCACAGCTTTGTACTGGGATGGTCACATGTCAGAACTGGCATGTGCTACATACACACAGAGCTCCTTCTGTGTTGGCGCATAGTAAGTAGTCTGCTTGCAGCCCGGTGCCCATTTTTAAAACAAATAGGAGACTGCTAGCCAACCTTCTTAGGTAAGTTTACCTTTGCCAGAATTTTAAGCATCTACAAATTTAAGATTTGACTACTTTGAAATTATCTGTAGAACTAAATCTTCAAGTCATCTGTGTTCCAAACTTTAAATTGTAATTATAGTTTTAATTAAAACCTGTAGTTAAAAGAGAACTCAAAATTGTTAAATGGCTGGCATTCTAAAAGAACATGCAGATTGAAAATTTATATTTATATTTAGGTAATTGAGATTTTTTTTTGAAGTTCAAATCAATAATTAGGGTTATTCTATTAAGATGACTTAGCCTAATTAATTTAAAAGTTCAGTGTTATGGAAAAAAGTCAAGGGGAATTATTTCAGATTAAAAGAAATGTAAGCATACAGCTATTAAAATGCATGATTTTTGGCCAAATCCTAGTTTTAGGAAAAATGAGTGAGAAACATTTTTGAGACAGTTGAAGAAATCTAAACATGGACTTGTTATCTGAGCAATGACGTCATGCTCAGTTGCGGTAATACAGGTTGAATATCCCTTAGCTGAAATGCTTGGGACCAGAACTGTTTTAGATTTCAGAGTTTTTGGATTTTGGAATATGTACATAGACTTCACTGGTTAGGCATCCCGAATTTTAAGAAAATCATAAATGCTCCAAAATATGAAACTTTTTGAACATCCTCTTGTTGCTCAAACATTTCAGACTTCAGGACACTTTAGATTTTCAGGTTAGGGATGTTCAGCCTGCAGCATTTGATAACGTAGGAGAATCTCCTCATAGTTTGGGAGCCTTCATTCATGTATTACTGGAGTACAGTTTCATCGTTTCTAATTTTTTTGACATAAGTTAGCAAATATGTATATGAAATACGGCAAAAAATTGGCCACTATTGAATACAGATGGTGAGTTTTTAAATGTAACCTATTGATGATCATGCAAGTGATGATGCTTCTGAAGAGGTCACTCCATAAAAAGAAGTATTAAGAGACACAGGAGTCCTCTTCAGCCAGCCTTGCAGTTTGGGAGAAGGCATTGCTGGAGGTGAGCCGTGTAGGTGGTGCTCACCTGCTGGGCTGTCTTAAATCCTCAGTGGGCCACATGCAGGCGTTTGCTAAGGCTCCATGTGTGTGGGCTCACTGTGACCATGGGAGAGAGTCTCCACCATTACCCCCCATACCACATAGTCACCTTGGAGGCCATGGGGAAGAGCAGGTCACTTTGGTTATGAGTCCACTGGAAAACAAGGAAGGCTGGATGGATTTACACTGAAAACTCCATCTTGGACCTTTGCTCTTAGTGCTTTGGGACTGTGAACTATAACAGCTCAAATAAATGAGCAGTCCCTTAGAATGCATTACTCTTTAGAGCGTGGTACCTCTTAAAACCGTTCTGCATGCCTTGTCAATCCAGGGTGGAATCTGTACAACTCCTGTGTGATTTTGAGTTGTTTTAATTATTGCCTTTCTATTAATAAAGTCTTAATTTCTAATAAAGCCATTTTGAAGTAGCTTATTTTAGGCCATGTAGGAAATAATATAGTAGCCAAACTCGGGTTGCCCTTTTTTACTTTCATAAACATTAATGATCTTAATGATCACCTCCCTTTTTCTTTTCCCTTAGAAAATTAGTATTTGCTGAATAATAAGATGAGCTAGAAGAAAGTTAATGTTGTAACAAGGCATCGTTTCAGCCTTTGGTGTTGGATTTGAAGACTGTGTGTGGAAGGATAGAGAAGTGCAGCAGCTCTTTGCAGAGCACAGAATACAGAAAGTGGCTCGGCACCTGGGGGCTGCTTAGGGCCCAGAATGGCTTTGTTGGTACTGGATCACATGAAACTTAGCAATTTAGAAATGTAAATTATTTCTAGAAATACATATACGCAAAGAATCTTGGTAGAAAAATGCTTCCATTACAAAGCCATGCCTTCTCTAACGCTAATCTCTTCCTTCGTGCACAGATAGTCTTCTCAGATTGAGAAGGACCTCAGTAGTCAGCAAGAAAACAGGCTGGCTTCAGTGTGATTTGCAGGTACCTCCTAATTCCAGAATACTGTTGTCAGACAGTTTTCAAATAAAAAGATTATCGCTTCATGATTTTCTTTTGCTTATTTTCCCCTTAGTCTCCAACAGATAGAGGGTTTTCTGCATTTAGAACACAGGAATAGCAATCGGGGAGCTGGTGCCTAAGTAGGGAAAGCAGAAGACTTCTTGGATTATTTGCCAAATTGCTGTTTAGCTTTAAGAACAGTAGAACTTTGCCTTAGCCCCAGCCATATACAAAAATCTCAGTGGCCTCTTGAACCCTGTAAAGCCTGATTCATTAACAGCAAAGGTAAGAATGTTTCTTTATCACTGCTCGTTATCTATGGATAAATGAACTACATCTCTGTGTAAAGCATTTCAATTGTGTATGTTTCAGCAGCAGTAATTGTCTGTTTATATATCAAATTTAGTTTGTCATAAGAACTGGCAAAGTACCTTTGGTGTTTAATCTCTCTTCAAGTTCCTCTTTAAACAGTCAACTTTCATATGATCAGTGGAATTTGAACTAAGCAGGTGCAAATCTCTTTTAACATGTTAAACTTGCCCTTTTGCTTATAGGTGCCATTAGCCCAAGTTTTTCAGTGAAACCCCTAATAACAAGATGCCAGTTTAGGAAGGATTCCTTTAACGTAATCTTATCTTGTGGAGGATACAGATGTAGGGGGTTAGGTTTTAATAAACTCAGTTCTTCTAGTAATTTCAGCAACAAATCACTTGGGATCTGCCTTATACAACTTTCTTTCTATAGAAAAAGTTGTCATTTCGGGCTGGGGATTTAGCTCAGCGGCAAAAGCGCCTGCCTGGCAAGAGCAAGGTCGTGAGTTCAGTTCCCGGTACCAGAGAAAAACCAAAAAAAAAAAAAAAACAAAAACAAAAGAAAAAGTTGTCATTTGGGGACTTTATTGTTCATTAGATAACTGTACTTTTTTGTTCCATTTTTTGGAAGACTCACAGTTACATGAAGAATAACTTCTAAATGTTGCTGTGTCTGTGAGTTCCAAATCCCTAAGGGTTCCTCTCTTACAAACTACCCCTGCCCAGCAGCAGGACAAATAAACAGATGTAGAAGGGACTTCCACCTCTCACTGGCCTAAGGAATGAAATGTTTGTTGAAAAGCACTCAGAGTAATACCAGTGTGTGCATATTTTGCTTAAGGTTTGAGCAGAAGAAAGCCACATGACTGAAATGCAATCTATTTTCAAGTGTATTGAGAAAAAATATATTTCATCTCAGTAAATCTAGAGATTATCCTTTCAGTTCTTTCACAATCTGCGTGACTAAAGCAGTTGTGCTGTCACGGCCTCTGCTTATTGAGACAGTGCAGGGAGTGTGTGTTCACTGATGTCCTGGGCCTCTGCAAGGGTGTCGGAAGGATACTGGAAGTACAAGTGAAAGCTTCTTTAATTGTATTCCAAGGGCACAATTTTGGTTTTTGTTTTGTTTTTGTTTTTTGTCCGGTACCAGGAATCGAACTCATGACCTTGCACTTGCCAGGCAGGCGCTTTGCAGCTGAGCTAAATCCCCAGCCCCCACAATTTTGGGACAGTCATTGTCATGGACTTTGCAAGGATAGGAGGACTTGGGTTTCCCTAGAGATGGTCTAGAGGTCTTCAAGATCACCTCTCCCAACTCTTAGCCCTTCTGATTTCATGGGTAAAATAACGCCTCAGAGGCTTAGCAACTTCCTGGCATCTCAGCACCTAGAGACCCTCATCCCCCTCTGCTGAGGCTTTTCCTTCTGGTTCTGCTACTTGGTACTTGAGTATGTTAACTGGGAACGCTTTGACTTGATCTTCCTGGGGGTGGGGGACCCTGAAAAAGAGAGGTGAAGGCATTAGGTTAGTACTATGAATTATCTGAAGTTCTCTTACTACCCTGTAAGCTCAGTGGCATTGTCTCTTTTCACAAGTGAGATTTACTCCTTTGGACAGGCCTCTTTAATTTAACATTATGTTTGTATCACTTATTTTATTACTACCTGTAGTCATAGTGCATTTGTATTTTTAAGGGCAGTGTAATATTTCACTGTGTATATATCCCCATTTTTTAAAAGTTCTGCTGTTGGAGAATCTTTATATCAGTTCTGGTATATTGTGAAGAATGCTATTATGCACATATAAATTCGGCTTTATAGACGTAAGTATGTTGTTAAATTTGTACTGGTCTTACCAGCACAGGGAAATTCCCATTGTCTCATGTACTTGCCAACTTTTTTTTTTACTTCTGCTGTGTTTCTTTTCATCTTGTTAAAAGACTGGCTGTCCTTGAATCAGGGAATTAGGGAAGAACCTGTTTACAGGCAAAATACTGTCGTTTGTGCTGATGAACAAGGACTATCAGAAGGTGGCCAGGTTCTATGTATTAGTTCACACTGAGCTCTTTGTCCCATCTGAGAGCCCCAATTTTCAGATATGTTAGTCCCCCCCCCCATTTATCTCACTTTGCAGATGATGTGACTGAACCCTTTCAGGGACTAGAGACTCTGCCAGGTGTTGTGGCCACACTCCTGGGAGAGCCAGGATAATAATGTTCATCCCTTCCTCTCAGGTGAAAGCTCTCGGTTGATTCTTTTATTCCTTCACTTGTTAAATAGCTACTGTTAAATAATTATTGAATACATATTTAATGGAAGGATCTGAGCTTGGCCTCAGTGACAAACAAGCTTATGTATACTATAACAATGTTCCTTTCACTTCACAGGCTATGGATATCACATCACTGCCTATTTCCTCAAGAGGGGGATTCGCCTTCACTGCATTGGGAGCTCACAGAATACTAGTAAGAAGCTGTTTCTTGGACCATCCAGCATTTCACACAGTGCACTGACCGTAGAAAAGGGATGAAAATAAAGGCACAGAAATTCTTCTCTGTATTCCTGTCACTGAGTATTTCCAAACATTTGTGATTCCTCCCCCCATACTGTGTTTACTGCCTGAGGATACTGCCTGCGCTGAGCACACTGAACTCTGAATCATTCCATGATAGTCAGTGCTCACCAAGGCTGTGGGATGGGGAGCAGGTGTGCACAAGGGAAAGCACTTTCCCAGCCCAGAGCCACCAGAGCCCTCCGTAGGTGTGACAAGGTCAGTTCCCATCTCTCATTTTACCAAGTCGGGATGTCATCTGAGAGATGATGTCAAACTTGTGTCGCCAACAACCATAGTCAGAAACTAATGACTGTTCTCCAACTAGATCTGATGAAGGAAAACGTAGCTCAGTTTCCTTGGATAGGGTCAGTATATGTTTAAGACATGAAACAGGGACTTTAAAAATTAACTCTATAGAGGTTTGCTTGTGAGCTTTTCAGCTTGTCTGCTTCCTTAACCCCCAGTGTCACTTACATACACTACGCTGTTAGGGACCTTCCACTTTGTGTACATCTAGTAGTAAAATAAGCCAGCTATCCTTGTATCTGTTAAAATACCTTTTAACTACCCTCACTGGTAGGGATTGCCATTGCCTAATTATTTAAATATTAAAATAATACAACCCATAATTATGACCTAAACAGAAATAGCTTTCTAGTAATACAATACCTGTCATCAAAATGTTCAAAGTCTGCCATCCTTATTTTTCAGAGAAAAAAACCAGCAATACAAAACAGAAGAATTATTTGATGAAACTGGTAATTTTGAATTCTGACAGTTTAATGAACATTTCAGTTTGCTCCTTGTGGGGTAGAGATGATGAATTCTGTGGCTCAGTTTCACTTTCCATAAAGTAAGACACAGAGTACTTACCATGTATCTCAATAACATATTTTAGGAAGTTATGAATAATATTAACTGCTTGGTAATTTTATTCTGGCTTTTCAAAAGCTATCTGTATTCACCAAGCCAGATGTACTATCCATGAGGCAGCGGTCAGAGTTTAGACCCAGGCCTCCACCTGAAAATGAGAGCTTGAATAAGAGGGATGAGTCCGGAGTCAGATCAGACCAGTAGTTTGGTCCCTGGTCAGGGAGTCTGGGGAGCCTTGACTGGCTTTGAGCAGGATGAGGGCAGCTGTTTTTTAGGACCCGCAAGCTGTGTGCTAGGTAGTGTGAATTAGAATAGGGAGAGTGACCCCTGAGGCAACAGCAGTAAGCCCAGGGATCTGGAGAGAGCTGCTACTAGAACATCAGCTCTTTAGGCCTTTTGGTATAATTTAATGTAGCAGAGTGATGTAAGGAGCTAACTGTGTTGAAATTGTCTGCATAACTCCCACCTTGTGCTTGGCTTCCCAGTGTACCAAACTGAGACACATTGTCAACTCAGGGACCCTGTGTGCAGGGTCTGTAAAAAGATTCATTTACCCAATTCGTAATAGCCATATCCTTAAAAAACTGATCATATGTAAAGGGAAGTTTTCTTTTTAGAAAAAACAAATAGTATACATATGTGTTACAGAGATACTCCTCCAGCACACCAGGTATTAAGAAAGGAGGGGAGGGTCCTCCCCACCAACCCCAAATAGATACTGTTAACATCCACTACACAGCACTCAGTACTGGAACATCACCCCGCCCTGGGTGGAGGCTGACAGATAACTGATGGGTGAAGCATCTGAGGGCAGACCCAGACGGTGCTGCTGCTGTTTGTGTTCCCTTTGTTGACTGTTGAGTCCCGTTCTGTGATTCATGTAGCCTTTCCCACTCGAAAACCAGTGGCTTTGGTTTTAAGAGGCTGCAATAGTAGATCATTATTGACTGTGGTGTAGCTTTATCATCTCCACTGTTGGATATTTAACCATTCCCTTAGTTGTCTGATCACTAACTCCTAAGAGAAGCTGCTGTTTTCAGAACCAGTTCAAGCTTGGGAGTTTGCCCTGTAGTGTAGGGGACAGTGCTAAGGCCAGCCACCCAGGGAGATGATAATAAACCAACTGGAGAAAGGCTGGTGGATCCCTTTTCATATTTTTTTTATCTAACACTCTTCCTTTTTATAAGTCTGCCCTCATTAGAAAACAGTGGCTCTGTTTCTCAAATATGACTTCTAAACGGGAAGGGCGAGTGGACACACAGTGAGCTGCAGAGGCGCTGCCTGGTACACAGCCCATGCTGTGTACTGACAGCAAACACTGGAAGGAGGGAAGGAGGGGGCGGAGACACATGGCTTACGTCCATGTGCATACTGCACGCACGGTGTGAAATGGACAGAGAAATCTGGGAATAAACACATTTATGTTCACAGTTCACTTGATACCTTCACAGTAACTTGATTTTCTTCATTTTGTACAGAACTCCGGGTATTCCCTGACCGATTTGTGGTCTGCATTAGTCAGCTTGCAGCCAGTCCTGGTATCTTGGCAAATGAGAAAGAAGAACTGGTATGTATGAAAAAATTCAGTAAACCAATGAGTTTAGGTGCTGGGTTACTGTAAAAAATGGGAAAGAACTGTCTGTGGCTGTCCTTTAGCTGTGGAATACTCAGTGCATGCTTACGGAACCAAAATGTCTTACCTAACTTGTGTGCTCATACTGATTATCTGATGCATTCAGGGTTTTTTTTTTGTTGTTGTTGTTTATTTTTTCCCCAAAGATGCCTTAAATATTTAGTTTGATCAGCAGTATCTTTTCACTTCCAGTTTTAAATGAGAAAGCAGCACAACACAAAGACCATGATGGTACTTATGGTCATATTAAAATGAAGTAAAGCAAAATCCACATGTTTCCAGTGGAAGTTTTCATTGGGGTCAGTGACTTTAGCATTTTATTCCATGGTGGTGAATCACAAAAACTTTCATGGGAACTAGTACTTCTCCCCAGTGTATTATTTCATAGTTGCTAGGGTTCATATTCACACACACACATATCCCCATGCCGAGCTGCTTTAGGGCCTGTTTCTCTGTCATTGGAGTTCTCTACTCAGATAAAAGCAAAAACCTTACTCAAAGCGGTATAGCTCATGTCAGACTTTGGCGGTGCGCTCATTGTGTATATGTGTGTCTTGTTGCAGTCATAGTCCAAACTGCTTACCTCTGCACAAACTTTTTAATGTTTTTTGGACATATAACTTAAAACTTTGACAAATAGGAAAAAAAATAGCAAATATTCACACAGCCATGAAGTATGACATGATTATTATTGTTGTAAAATAATGTATGGCAATATTAGATTATCCCTAATGTTTATTATTTTTTAATTCATTTGAAATTTGGCCCACATACTCTAAAACCAGCTTCTTATCTCATCTTAAATAAATATATAAGAAAATGAGTGTTTCAAAGATGTTAAGAGGGAATAAGGACCCAGGAAAAATTAAGAGCAAAAATCTCATATTTACATTTAGATTGATTGATTTTGAGCAGAGAACCCCTTTAGAAAAGCCATTATGATCCATATATTTTCTCTTCTCTGCCCATTAAAAATGCTACATATGTACACTAAATGAAACAAATGTAGTAAATTTAGCAAAAATTATTAAAAGTTTATCCTTTGAGATATTTCCAGGACACTAAGTTATCCTATCAAGTTAATAAATGTTGAAGCAGTAATGCTGTTGACATATAACTTTTATGTAATATCTTTTAACTGATTTTAGAGCACAGAAATAGATCTATGATTTAAGAAAACAACAATTAACTGTACCGGAAAGTAATACTGCTTTCAGATGGGATACAGGAGAAATTAGATCTCACATGTGATATGTAATATTAATACCTAGTATCTTAAATTATTAAGGGAGAGTGAAAACATCTCAATACAAATGAAATATTATCCTCCTTAGGGGCTGTGGTATTTATACAGATGTAAGTTTTCTATAGCTGCTGTTATATAAATCCCACAATCTGGAGAACTTCCTAAATGTTGAGAATTATCATTCTGCAAAATTGAACAGTCTAAGCCTTTTACGTGAGAGAGTTCAGTATCCTTATCTTAAAAATATTCTGATTTTTAACTGTAATATGATCAGTATTAACCATATCAGCTTGTAAGAAAGATGTCATTGACATCACGAATTCGTTGTGAGTGGTTCTTTTTGGTTGTGGTTACTTCTGTGTCTTCAGTTGCTCGTTTTGCCCAACTCTGGCTTTCCCTCCACCTACACACTTCCCCAGCAACACACCACCCACAACATAGTGCACACGGCTGATCAGCGCCTTCGCCAGAGGTAAGGCCCCCTCACCCTCACCTGCTCTTACGAACACGCCCTCCTCACCCACCACTTCCTCAAGCTCCTTGTCCCTGGAAGCTGCAAAACACCCAGGTCAAGGAAGGGCCCTTTCCACAAATTGCCCATCAAGCCAGCTACACTATCCTCCCACCAGAAATGTCTTGGAGCTTAATCCTCACTGATATTCGACCTCTGCAGAGCCTGCCTGGCTTGGTTATTTAAGGATCAATAAACAATCCTTCCTCCCAGAACTGCCTTCTGCCCGGAGAAGGCATTCCTACTCCTCCTGATGTACTTCAAATGCCCAGAGCCCTTGATCTCACGCTCCCCTGAGTATTCCTTGAACTTCCTTCAAGCCTTGAATTCCTTTGTCAGTTTACATTGATATTCCACAGAGGGCAGGATCCGTCCCACTCTCTCGGTAGTAATTCTCAGGGAACTTCTAAGTGGGCAAGGCCTGGGAACTTGGCTCCCCAAGTAGCTTTATTGGTAGTGAACTTACGTTACTGTCCTATAATTGTTTACTGCACTCACTCTTGTCTGCCCACAGGAGTGAGCTAATACCTGAGCAGCAATCCATGTGTCTTACTTTTGCTGTAGCCCTGAAAAGGGACAGATTGCTTCTCTGTCATCCTTTCCCTTTCCCATCAATTGGATCATGAGCATCTTCAGTGACAATTTGTTAGGAAATCTGGGAGCATCTCTTCAAAACGGCACTGCAGGGAAGAGATTCTTGCAGACAGGGAAGCAGCTGCACATGCTCCCCAGCCCATAAAAGTGGATGCACAGAAGAACTGCTATCCCGAATCAGACCATACAAAGGAAAAGTCTCCCTCCCAGGCAGGGCAGAGCATGTGCAGCCACAGGGTCCCCTTTCCAGGCCACACCCGGGAGGTCTGTTCTGCTGTCCATGTTCCTCCGTCCACTCAGAGACCTTGGTACAGGGAGATCCTCCATGTTCCAAAAGCTCTGCACTGAGTGCCCATGTGCTGGGGATGTGGGAATTGTGATGTGTACTTTGGGAAGAAAGGGCATTATTATGATATGACTCATTGTATTTTTCTTACTACAGTTTCTCATAAGAAATCTCAAAACCCTTGCAGCCTCAGCTTTTAACCTATTGCTCGATGTGGAGCTGGGGAGTCTTTTTGAGAGTTTTTACCTTCAGTTGTTTCTTCTCTGTTCTTCTTCACCTTTTTTTCCCTAAGAAGAAAAACATAAAGTTTTACTATACTCAGTTACGTTCCATTCCAACAATATTTTCTTTTTTACGAACTGAAGTCTGTAAGACTTCTTTCTCAGACATATAGTTCTGCAGCTTTCAGGAAATGTAAAATTAATTTATTTTTATTATTCCTTTATTAAAGTTGTAAAAATAGCCACAGAACTCTCGTATATCTGTAGGCCAATCCAGGGCCAGTGCGGAGCTCCCATCGCATTGTATGTTAATCCCAGCCATCCCTGTTCTCTGGAGATTACCTTTCCCATCTGGTCTGCCCTCACGTTTCACATAATTTGCTGAGTGCCGCTGTGTGCCAGGAAACCTCCCAGACCCTGAGAAAACAAAGAACAATGAGAAAGTGCCTTTGTCCTCAAAGAGCTTATAGTCTGCCAGATCAAACTACCGAAAGGTTTCCTAGTGACCTAAAAATAGAGCTCAACCAAAACCGGCATTTTTCCTAAGGAAGTCTCCTTCCTGCAGCCATGTCCTTACTGTTCAGATCCTTTCTGCCATTCCCAAAGCAAGACCAAAAGTCTGGACCTGCTTTCTTTCTTTTGTACCTACCCTGTCAAAAGGCAGTGATCTTTTTGGAAATTGAAATATGACATGTAGCACTAGTGCTGCATACAAGTAGATGTGTACATTAAGGTATTTGGGTTGTCTGCTAATGCTCCATCTGAGTTGTGGTCACTCTGTGGTCTGCAGACCTAACCAGGCACACGGGGCTGGGTCTTTGCTATAGCATCCACTAGGTAGGATGACTAGTGGGAGACTTCCTAATCGGAAACATTTAAGCACTAAATTGACCGCTTCCCTTAAGTCAGGGGACTATTTAACATTTCAAAATCTCCTATATAATAAGACTGAAGTGAAAATTAGTCTCAAGCAGTAAATTACCTGGGTTATTTTTAGCTTGGCTGTTGTATTCCTCAGTTGTATGTAATCCAACCTCTGTAGACCTTAGTCCTCAATCAAGGGGGAAAGGTACAGGATCATCTCAAAAGTCCTTTCTCTGGGAATTTCTATCAGGAAGCGGATGAAAATGTAGCTAAATATAAACTATAAAATGATTAGTACAAGTAAGAGCTTTATTGTTACATTTAAAAATTGTGATGAAAACATTTAGGGTAAAGTTTTATATTAGGAAAGGTAAGTAAAAGTTAAAAGGAAAGATTTTAGGCCTTAATGTTTTTAAAGCAGAAGAAATAAACTTCTTAACAATTTATGCACTGACTTCCATATCTTGACAAAATGCTTTAATTTTCATAAATGAACTTTTGCTTAGGTGTAAATGAGTTCATTCAAAAAGTCCTTCATTCATACTAAAACATTTAAAGAAGTACTGGGTGACTTTTCCAGGTTATTCATGATATAAAAATCTATCCTCCTTTCTTGCTGTATTTCTGAGACAGTGCTAGTGGTGAATTCCACACAAGCCATTAAGAAGAGACTCGTGGAGTACAGGAAAAGTTCTGAGGGGGGAAAGGCTATTACTATATTTCTCATTTTCCATGACTCTCTGAACTTAGTTCTTAATAACTGATTGCCAAAATTGTACATGTTCATTGCACAGAAAGATTTAAATTCAGATATACACAGAGGGGAAAAAAGGATCTACAACTCCCAGCACAGAGATAACCTCTGTTACTGATATAATCATATCTCTCCTTACTTCATGCTTAATAACTGAGGTCAGTGCGTATTTTTTTTAACTAGGACCCTATGCATTTGTGAATTATGAATTGGTGTTCATTTTTCTATTGACATTTTTGTGTTTCACAAATTCCTTACTGTACAAAACCTCCTTATATAGTAAGGAAAGTAACTTTCAGTGAGTTTCTCTTTTACTTTTTAATAACAGGTCATTGCTGCATGGTTGGAGTCTGGGTCCTCAGATTTATATTTTCCATGATAATTTCTGCTTTGGATAATCTGCTTATTAATGTTTTTCAAAATCAGGCAAATATTTATATTTTCTTCTTGTATTTTTA